CTTATTTTATATTTTTTTTTCTTTTTTTTTTTTGTTTTATGATCTTATTTCATATAAATTTAATATGCAATTAATGGTTGTTCCTGTTGGGTGAAAAAAAAAAAAAGAAATCATGATTACGATATACGCCAATGGTCTTCGTCTCATTTTTAAAATCACAACACGTAATAAATATCGTTGTCGAAATAAATGATAATTAGTATGAAATTTATATTGACATTAAAAGATATTTCTTGTGAATCGATTAAAAAGTATAAATTTTATATGAATTTGTGATAAAGATTAGGTTTAATTAAATTTTTTTTTTTTTCACAAAATGAATTTGCCCCACTTTCAAAATCAACGAGCTCATATAAACCCATTAATGATATGATACTATATACGTTTGTTTTGTATCAAGAATTTACCAGACCTTGAATTTCTCGATCTGGCTTATAATGAATTGAACGAATTCGATTTGACATCGTTCGATCAAGTAGGAACATTATCCTCGTTCAAAGTCAATGTTAGTCATAATGTAATACCAAAATTGTGGATCAATAGTACGACCTTTACACCGCCAACTACAAGTACGTATGTCATATATGATTAGAAAAATCTGATCCAAAAAATTTTCATATATTATACGTAGGATTGATTATAGGGGAAATAAAAAAAAAAAAAAACTTTTTTTTTTTTTCTATAAATAGCATTGCTTCCTTACTTTTCACATATTTATATATATATATATATATATATATATATATATATATATATATATCTGAAAAGTAAGGAAGCAATGTATAATAAAAGTAAGGAAGCAAAATATCATAAAAAAAAAAAAAAAAAAAATAGAAGCAAAAAAAAAAATGATATTTCTCGTTTCAGTTGGTGGCAACGTTCAAGCCAACATCAAAGTATTAGATCTCAGTTATAATAATATATCCGACATTATGAAATACTATTTTAAACCGGTGGAATATTCTCTTAGTCACTTATACATGTCGCATAATCAACTGACCAATGTGACTCAAGGAATATTTGGCAATATGCCCCATCTCCAATGGCTAGATTTAAGTCACAACGATTTAATCGAGGTCGATTTCGATTGCTTTAGAAATACGAAGAATCTACAGGTCTTATTTCTTTCGTGGAATAACATCGTTGACATACCGGCTGAGGCATTGAGACCATTAAAAAAATTACGTATCGTTGATTTGTCCCATAACAAATTGAGAACCCTACCTGACAATATGTTCACGGATGCCATCATCGAGAGTCTTGATTTATCTCATAATCAATTTATGAGATTACCTGTTAAAACTATGTCAATATCTGCGGCATTGAGTTTGTCTATTTTAGATTTGTCTTGGAATATTTTGTCAGGCATTCACACGACCGATGCTATTTTCAGATTGAGAGTAAGACTAATTCTCTCTCTCTCTCTCTCTCTCTCTCTCTCTCTCTCTCTATCTCTCTCTTTCTATCTCTCTCTTTATTTATTTTTTACTCTTTGATTTTGATCAAAGTTTTGCTATTAATAAACATTGTAGAAAATATTGTATTTATTATCGATTATCAAATTTTGATTTTGAATTGTTTGCTCGCTTGCTCGTTTGTTTGTTTGTTTGTTTGTTTGTTTATTTGTTTGTTACTATTTTTTTAATTTTTGTTTTGTTTTGTTTTTTTTTTTTCTTTTTTAGGGATTAACATGGATGGATCTTTCGTATAATCGTTTAGTTAGACTGGACGACGGAGTATTTTCCGATTTACCTTATTTGTCACATCTTGACTTAAGCCATAATAAACAATTGATATTAGAAACTCGTGGAAGGACATTTCACGGATTGGAGGATACATTATTTTATCTTGGTCTAAGTAATATTTCTTTATTGAGCGTACGTATTTTTATTATGAATATAAACAGATAGAAATAGCGAGAGAAAGAGAGAGAGAAAGAGAGAGAGAGAAAGAGAGAGAGAGAGAGAAAGAGAAAATGATAAATGGAAATGAATATAATATATGGGTATATTTTATCAAAAATATAAAATATTGTCTATGAGTATTCTTTGATTATGAAATATTATGATATATTAATGATCACATATGAAATATTAATGAACACTTTGTACATTTATTAATGTTTATATTTAATCGTATATATACAGGATGTCAAAAAAACATGGGAATAAATTTATATTATATATTACTGAGATCAAATGAATGAGAAAAAGTTCATAAAAATTTATCGTCCAAAAATTGATTTATTGACAAAAAAAAAATATATATATATATATGTATATATAAGATATTTGTATGATTTATTCGTCGAATTAATGATTTGGCTAACAGTCACAGTTGGTCTCTTTTATATCACCTGACTCAACGTTTTTGAATTTCTATTTATGAGAGTTCGTTTATAAAAATACGATAAAAATGGAAGAAAGAATTTTTCAAAATGTATTCAAAATACATTTATCATTATTTCTAATACAATTGGAATATTTGATTATTTGCATACGGGGATCATTAATTCGACGAATGAAAAGCCTTATATTCTTACAGGAAAGAGAAATTTTCTAATATTTCTAATAATTGACGCAATAAATCATAAATATCTTTAAAAAAAATATATATATATATATATATATATACATATATCTTTTTGATAAAACATTTTCAGGATATAGATTTATATAAATTTTTTTTTTTCATCCATTAAATCTCAACAATATTCAGTTATAAATTTGATCACATGCTTTTTCGACACCCTGTATATACATTGCACTGATATTATATAAGAATGAGAAAAGAATTAATGATAGAAAAATATTCGTAAGAGATTAGGGATAGATTTGAAATTTTATTTTCAGGTACCGGAATTACCATTAACGCGATTACAAACTTTATATTTGGCACACAATGAATTGGCTTCGATACCAGCCGAAATGGCATCGAATTTAACGTCGTTACATTATTTGGATCTAAGTTATAATGATTTAACGGTGGTACCTTTGATCACGCACACACTTCCAGAATTGAAGACATTTAATCTTGCTAATAATCCGATCACGGCCATAACCAATACGAGTTTCTTAGGGGTGGCGGATAGCCTTGAAGAATTGGACATACGATGGTTATCTTTGTCGACGTTCGAAGTACATCTTTTTCTTCTTTATTTATTTTTTTTTTTCTTTTTTTTTTTCTCTTTTCTTTTAGCAAGAAAATAATTATCTCGCGACAAAATACTGTATATAGAAAAAAAAAAAAAAAAAAAAAAAAAAACTTTGCATCTGGATTTTTTTTAAAGATATTAAAAGATATTTTATTTTGTTGTATTATTGTATTGTTTTATAGGCAGGTGCCCTTTGCAAGGCAACGAAATTACGTAGATTGTATATAACAGCTTATACGGGTTTAAAAAATTTCAATTTTCCAAATATACTGGAGTACAATCATGGCTTGAGGGATTTGTTGATTGACGTAAATATATGAAGAATTTAAATTAACAATTGCCATTGTTTATGATCTATTAGATTGGAAACTATGAAAACGGCGTTTTTGTTTAGTTATTTATCTTCATTCAACGCCCGTTTCATAGTTTCCAATCAAATATTTATAAATAAAATAATAATAATTATTATTTATTATTATTATAATTATTATTTATTATTATTATTATTATTTATTATTATTATTATTAATGTTATTATAGGTTGAAAATGAGACGGATTTGCAGAAAGAAATGAAAGGAAAATTTCCATTTAAATTGTATAATATCACGCTCACTGGGAAAGCTTTGAAAATTATTCATTCGGATATATTACGCGTTAGTAATTAAATATATCTTTACCATTATATTTAATTATTTTTAATTGATAAGTTTATTTATTTATTTTATTTTATTTTATTTTATTTTTTTTTTTTAAACATAACTCAATAGGGAATAAGAAATCCTCATTTACATTTTGGATTGTATAATACCAGCGTAAGTAGCGTGCCAAAAGAAATGTTTATTAATGCTGAATGGGTAAGGAATATAACGATTGACCTTCACAATACTGATACGAGAACGCTTCATAATCCGTCCTCTGGTCATAAGCCTGGTGTACCGAGAAAACAATTTCTCATGAAGCTCAGACTCGCTGGTACTTATATGAATTGTGATTGCGATATTGGGTAAGATTCATATATTGAATTAATGATTCATAATATAAAAAAATAAATAAGTAAATAAATAAATAAATATATATATAGTATTTATATATGTATATATAAAATACTAATTATATATATTTTTAAATTTAGAATATTAATTATATATATATATATATATATATATATATATATATGTGTATTATATTTTTAATACATAACATATATTTATTACCGTAAAATAATTCTTTTACGTGATTTTAAAATATTTTTTGTTAAATAACACGTGATAAAATGTATATTAATTTAATATTTAAAATGACTTAGTACATTATCATAATTATTCGATTTGTATTATAATTAATAATGAATAATAATGAAAAATTATTTTCAGATGGATTGAAATGTGGCAGAGAAAGCATAGACAGTATCAAGAAGACAGATGCAATTCTTACGGTGAATTTAATAATTTCGAACGCGAGGAAGGCGACGAATTTAATTGTTGGGACAATGGCTGGGACGATGACCTTCGAGAGACCTTTTGTATGAACAAAAATAACATGTCACTATCGAATGTCTTGAAAACAGAAATTGAATGTGGTTGGAGTACTGGGAGTTACGTTGACTCCTCTAATTTATTGATTTTTTTGCTTTTCTTGATCATAGGAACGATCTTAAATTAAATATCTCTTTTTCTCTTTCTCTCTCTCTCTCTCTTTGATATTTGTTTAATTCGTAACGAAATATTTCTCTGTTTTCCTAATTAATACTTATTTCGCACACTGTTATTCCTAATTTTTTTTTTTTTTATAGACGTACATATCACACACACACACATATACACACACCTTTTCACTTATGTGTAATTATTTTATTTTATTTATTTTTTCTTTATTTTTCATTCGAACGTTTTGCAAAGTGCAAAACACATGAGACAATCAAATAAAACAGTCGAACAATGTTCAGATATTCGTACAAATTATCGGCGATAACAAATTAATATGCTCTTTCATTGTCATTTTGTCATTCGTGTTAGAAATATTTTTTGTTAGACCTTTATTATTATTCTTCGTTAAATTAATTGGCATGTTATTAAACATAAAGGGAATAAAAATAATTGTATATCGAGAGAAAAAAAAATTACAGTATATGCATACATACATATATACATATATATATATATATATATATATATATATATATATATATGTATGTATGTATGTATATATGTATATATTTAATTACAGAACATCAAACACAACAAAGATATCACATATTCTGATATGCTTCTCTCTTTATCTCTTTCTCTCTCTCTTTCTTTCTTTCTCCCTCTTTCTCTTTAATCAATAGTTATACGATAAAATTTTTGCTACTATATGAAGTACCATGTATACAATTGGCAAAACAATCAAACCGAATATAAACGTTAAACAAACGTAAATGCTTAACAATTGTATCCCAAGTATCACGTATTTGATCATCATTTGACGTATGTCATTAGTGTTCTTTATGTAGATCAATTTGTCCAGTATGAATCGTAGGATATAGAGAAATATCTAAAAGAGAAGAAAACAAAAAAAGAAAAAAAAAAAAGAGAAAAAAGAAAGAAAGCAAACAAAAAAAAAAGAAAAAAAGCAAAATTCATTTCGTTATTTAAAATTCATAAAATTATAAACAATTATTATTGAAAGAATATCGCATTAGTGATATGTTTATCATTACTTCGACAATTGGTGCAGTATTAACGATGATATAAAGAAGAGCAATCAATGATCGACCTGTTGCTTGACCCATGACCTTAACAAGATCCGTAAAAGCATATTCTGTACGTGGAATACCATTAGATTCTTGATAATTTGCTAAATATTCTCTTATATTCAATAAAAGTGTCTTTGGTTTTTTATTAATTATAATACCATTAGAACACTCGTTAAGATCGCAATCGTCTGTAAGGATTATAAATATCAAGGTAAATTATTTATAGTACGTGATAATAAATATAAAATATAAAAAATAGGATATATAAAATAGGATAAGAAGAAAAAAAAAATTAGAAAAGAAAGAAAAAAAGAAAAGAAGAATAAGCAACGTATTTTATATTTTACAAGCAATCGATTTAATACGTACCATTTGTTTCCGTATAATTAGTATTATCATATTGATTGTAATTAGGAATGCTATAAAGATTTCTATATTTGGTATCCGTATTTATAGGAACATCTTGAATAATCGATTTCTTATCATTCAAGGATTGTTCTATCGTTTTCCATAGTTCTTCCTTCTCGTACTTCCAATCACCTGACTTTTCTTGCTTCCACGTATTTGATTGTTCCATTATCGATCTATTCTCTTTGTCAGATTGATCTAATCCATTAGAGATCGTCGAAGATCCAAAACTGTTCTTTTGCTTGTCGTAATATTCACTCGTCGATATGTACTAATGTTAAATCCATTAAAAAAATTTATTATTATGAAATAATAAGTAAAATTTACGATTAAATTTAATTGTGCGTGTGGGACGTAAAATCACCATCTCGGATTTCAACTTAAGGAGGATGTCAATTAAAAAAAAAAAAAAAAAAAAAAAAATAAAAAAAATAAAAAAAAAATAAACAATTTTTGCGCACTGAGCGAATTCACGATTTTTTTTTTTTTTTTTTTTTTTTTTTTTATAACGACAGAAGTAAAAAAAACGTTTTCAAAGCTACTGATTATTATTATTATTATTATTATTATTATTATTATTATTATTATTATTATTATTATTATTATTATTTTCGAGGCTTCAAAGAATATAACCGGTATTTATTATTTTTGATAATGAAAATTATTCATATTATTATTTATTATATCAGAAAATGACAGAATGAATAATTTTCGAAATATTATAATATAGAATGAAAGCTCTGTTCGAAATTATGCCTCCTTAAGGGTTTAAAGGGGACACGGAGAGGGATTTTGTAATGCATCTCCTCATCCTCCCTGCATCTCCCGTAACGTGCACTAATTGGAAATTATTTACGAGATGTGCACAATTAGGGGTTAACGATCACGAATAATTTAATCTTTATTATTACGAACTGATTGTTGAATTATTTCATCCAATGATTCTCTGTGAGTATCGTTCGTAGGGTGCTCCTTAGAGTAACGCGATCCTCTTTGAAATTCCCTTCCTCTTTGCAAAATCCTTAAATCTTTAGGATTACGATATAAATTAGTTTCGTTCCACATAACGAAATTTAATCTAACAATGGATGTATGTATGTATATGTATATATATATATATGTATGTATATAAATATGAAAATTTTGCGTCGAAATGAGATATAAGAAATAAGAATGATTAAATTCAATCGAGTCCTATGTCCATTAATACTGACATTTTAACTCTTGTAAAGAGGAAATATATATATGTATATATATGTATATATTTAAGAAAAAAAAAAAAAAAAGAAAACAAAAACAAAAACAAAACATTTGCAATTAAATGGAAAGTCGTAGGAACGTCGAGCGATGTAATTTAGAAAAAAAAAAGAAAAAGAAAAAGAAAGAAAAAAAGAAAACAAAGAAACAAACATATTAGAATTCTGAATTGATTAATTACTTATAATAATCGATACCACAAAAGCTTTCTATATCGAATGAAAAAAAAAATGTATATATAAACACATACATACATAATGTGTATATATACATATATATCTATATATATGTATATATGTATAATCAGCTTTTTCTCAATAGAACTTTATTGTCACGTGACTAACAAATAAGACAGCCGACAAGTAGAGCAGATTATTTCGTTTATCGAAAAGTACTGCCGATATTATAAATGTTTATACAAATTGTTAGATCCTTTTATTATTTCCAGGCTACGTTTGTTTGCTTTTTCTTTTTTTCGTTTCTTTCATTCTTTTCTTCCTTTTGTTTGTTTGTTTGTTTTTTTCCTCATTTTTCTTTTTCTTTCTTGCCCATTGAGGGTGGGTGGGTTGGGTTGGGGGTTGGACTTGGGGTGGGGGGTTTGAGGCGGGGAGATGAGAAACATGGATGTAAGAGAGAAGAAATCCGAGAACGAAAATTACAATACAAACACGTAAGAATTATCAACGATGGCTATACGATCTTCTTACATTTTTTACGTTCCGTTGTTACAAAAAGTTTTGTATACAGTATGTTTTATATTAGAATATAATAGTGATCACGCGATGTCGCTCATTATCATCATCATCATCATCATCATCATTATCATTATCATCATCATCATCATCATATCATCATCATCATCATTATCATCATCTTCATCATCATCATCATTAACACCATCACCATTATCATTATCATCATCACCATCATCATTATCATCATCATCATTATTATCATCATTATTATGATTATCATCATTATCATTATCATTCAGGGTCATTTTCGGCTTTTGCAATGTTACACAAATACATTTTCAGCTAACAGCAAAATTTGTTTCTTTTCCTCCTCCTCCTCCTCCTCCTACACCTCCTTCTCCTTTCTCTTTTTATTTCCTTTTTTTATTTTTATTTATTTTTTTGTATTTTTTCTTCTTTTTTGTAGCTTTTTTTCTTTTTTTCTTTCTATGATCGTAGTCGATTTTTTCGATTTGACTCTCTTTTTTCTTTCTTTCTCTTTCTCTTTCTCTCTCTCTCTCTCTCTCTCTCTCTCTCTCTCTCTCTCTCTCGCTCGTTCACTTTTTCTCTCTTTCTCTCTCTATCTCTCTCGCTCGTTCACTCTTTCTCTCTCTCTCTCTCTCTTTCACACACACACACACACAATCACAGTCGCTTTTCACTATGTCTGTCTCTTTTGAGCGTTTCATTGTTAAACTTTAAGATCTTCGATTCGCTAAATAAGAAAAAGCTGTATGTATATATATATATATATATATATATATATATATATATATATATATATTCGCTGCTTTCGTACAAATTCCAAGTGTTTAGAGAATCGAACGTCATCGCTTTTATGTCATCAGGATAATGGGAAAGAATAGTACTTTTTTTTTCTTTTTTTTTTTTTTTTTTTTTTTTTTTACCATTTCGTTTCTTCTTCTTCCTTCACCTTCTCCACCTCTTCCTCCACCACCACACCTCTTCTTCTTTTTTTCTTTCCTTTTTTTTTCTTTTTTCTTTTTTTTTTTCTTTTTTTTTTCTTTTTTTTTTCTTTTTTTTTTTTTTTTTTTTTTAAAGAGGATACAAGAAACGATAATTTGATAATCTACAAAATCAGCTCTATAATTATTTTGCCAAAGCACGTAATAATTCTAATGTGGTGCGCCAATGAAATCTGAAAGCATCATCACGTAACAATTTTCAATTATTTACCCTTATAACTATCAGAGAAGAGTTCATCGGTTTTGTGTGTATTATGTGCATGTGTGTTCTCTTTAAGTAAAGAGAACCATGGAAAGGGAGAATCGATAACAGTGGATTCTGAGAGGTGCTCGAAGCGCATTGTTTTTCGGACGATTTGTTGTTCTTGTTGGAAAAAAAAAAAAGAGAAAAAAAAAAAAGAAAAAAAAAAAAAAAAAAAAAAAAGAAAAAAAAAAAACAATTTCCACGATTTGCACACGCACGCACGCACGCACACATACACACATACACACACATGCACGCACGCACGCACGCACGCACGCACGCACGCACACATACACATGCGCGCATCTTTCGAACATAATTACATAATAAATATGTCCATATGGTGTAATGTGATCGATTTTAAAGATAGAAAGATTTTGGATATATCCTGATGTGTTTAACAAAATTCATCACTTTGATATTGCGTAGATTAATTGTGGAAGCTTTGATACACATTCACAACATGCCAAAACCCTTTGAATAGTTGATAGCTTTTAATAAACGATCTTGTAACTTTTCAATCGTGCTATAGTCTGGTAGAAGTAATACGTTGAAGCATGTATGTGCAATGGGCAATCTGAAAGAAACGCATAAAACAATTTTGAATTGATATATAATTTATATAAAAAAAAAGCAAAAAAAAAAAAAAAAAAACCAAAAAAAGAATACAAAAAAAGCAATAGCAACAATTAAAACAATTATGACGAGAGTAATCATAATGGAAAGATCGTTGTAAGTGAGAATAAGTCATAGATGCAATCTGTGATACAAGGAATGAAAAGATTTTTTGTGACTTGCATTACAAATACCGATTTGTGTACTTTTTGTGATCGTATAAATCTACAGAACGACTTTGAGAAATCACGAGTATTCTCAAATTTAATATAGAATTAGATTTTCTTCGTGGCATTTTAATTTATGCTTGTTTTAATTTCACGGTATGTTCTTTTCGCTTAATTATTCTTTCCTTATTAGATCATTCTTTTAATATAAATTGTGTTTTCTTATAATAATGTACCTGTCTGAATCTGGACCATGTCTGGCAATGACCATTTTAAGCCTAGAAAGTCCACCAACTGGCACTCGATCGCTACCAGTAGTAAACTGAAGCAATCTTCTTTGACTTTCTGGTGGTAATGAATGTGCCACCCGCCAAAAATTACGTACTGCTTCACTGTCAACCGTATAACCACCCTCGTATTCCGTTGCAGCTTCTAATTCCGCAAAATCAAATATCTTACTACCGCAAACGAGCTGAAAATCATCTTAATTAATACAATTATCAAGTTATTTTAAGGATCTATTCGAAAACGATTGAAATGATAATAAATACTTGTTCTATTTCTTCTGGTCTGAAAAGTAGGGCAAGTGGACTTTCATCCGTGACCATTTGAAAACCACGCCTAAACGCTTTGAACTGTCTCTCCACTGATTTATTCAATAAGAAATCTGCATAAAGATCTACAAATTCTTTTTTATTTTCTTGCGTTACATACGTCTCATCGCCATTCTCACGAAGATCATGAAACGATATTGAACCAAATACATCTCTGAGAAAATAATATAATATCATTATTGAAAAAAAATTGTATTTAATTTTAACCACTTGCGGTGTAAAGACGTGTCACGCACGTCGAGATACTTCTATTACCGGAAACGTCAGCGACGTGTTATACACGTCGTCAGGCGAATTGTTGCAGAAAAAAAAAAGAAAAAAAAAAAAAAAAAAAAAAAAAAAAAAAAAAAAATGTACACTTCATCGTGTAAAGTTATCAATATTGAACCCCCAGAGAGACTGTAAAATGAAAAATGATAGTGTAGCAGCCAGTGATATTATTTGTACAAATAAAAGGAAAAGACAAGACATTGTAGAATCCTGAATGCGCCCTAAAGTTATTTACATTCAATTATTCTGGGAAGTGTAATCATGAATTTCTTTACACCGCAATTGGTTAAACGTATTGATAAATTATTTCATTAAACGTACTTGTAACCAACACGGAAAGTTTGCATAAATGTATCCGACATATCATCTTCTGTATATGCCATTAATTCTGTCAACGTTCTATATAATGTAGGACTCCAATCTTCTAAATCAGCAAATCCTCCTTTTCTACCGAGTAATTTCCGATAAACCACCATTGGGAAGCGTACATCCAATATCACGTTGTTATAAATTGCTAATCCAAGAACAACTCCTATCAATGTAAATTGTGCATCACTTTCAAATGATGTCGGATTGAACCAGGTTAATTGTGTATCTTCCTGTAGAATATCATAATAATATGATACATATATAAATAATATATATATATATATATATATAATTTTTTTTTTACAATATATACAACAATTAAACTACTTTCTATCTAATATTACCTGAGTTGTAAACATGCCATAATCAGGATTGAAGATTTCCTCTACAACTAATTGAAAGAATTCTTTAGATACACCACCTTCATCAACACCTTGTTCACCTTCAAACTCGACAACTAATTGTTTTTTAAGATCTGACGGATTTTCCATTGCTACCATTTCTAATTCAACCAAAGCATCATCTATCAAATGATCTCTACGTACCTATGTATAGATATATCGCCAATCACTTTAGAAATAATCTTAAATGATATTAAATTGTATCTTCTCAATGACTTACTTTTAATCTAAGATATGGATTGGTAGGTTGTCCTACAACAGTTTGTAAGAAACTCATTCTTCTTTCGTTATACATTCTTATACGATTGTCGTAATATAGGCCCAATGTTTTTGTGGCTGGCGTAAGGATAAAGGCATAATTCATAAAACTAAATTTCTGAGGTTCTTCACTTTTGTAATAAGCAAAATCTTTATCCATTTCGATGGCATCGCTCAATGGTTCATTATAAAAATCGGTGAAAGATATGAATGGTTTACGAGCATCCAATGCAGAAATTCCTAATTCTTTGGCTAATGGATCCTAAATATAATATATAATTCATTATTAAAACTATTACATTTGTCATATATAAAAATGCATGTATGTCATTTTTATAATACCTGTGGTATTTGTGACGTCATTTTGCATGGGCCAGATTTGTCAATTTTTGTTGTATCCCCGTCTTCGTTCAATGCTAATTCACTGCTATCTAATTCTCCAGCTAACATACTAGCGTAATAAAGAATCCTCATTACTTTTGTAGGAGCAGTGATGGTATCTGCATCCTGAACGCAATAATCACGTGAAAATGATCCACTTATTACCTAATAAAAGAGATAAATGATATTAAAATATTCTTTTTTATTTATTTTTTCATTTTTTTTTTTTTTTTTTTTTTTTTTTTATATAAATCAAATGTAAATCATAATTAAAACTTATACATTATTATCGGAATACCTTCACCGTAATTAATTCTTGTAATGCTTGTAAAAGGCTAGGCAACGTAGGCTTACAATGTCTGGCCCATACACGTGCTAATTTTGCTTGAGCTAACGTTGGGAAACAGCTGACAGCTTTACAAAGCATATGTAGCGCAAGTTCAAGATATTCACTATTTCCCAACATTGGAATTTCAAATACAATTAAGAATACATTTAAGAGACTGTCCATACTATGGGAAGGTGTTTTTCCAAATACTCGTAAATGTAATTCTATGGTATCGGCTAAAGTGACTAGTGCATTCACAAGTGCTGATTCAAATGCTTCCCCTGAAAAAAAAAAAAAAAAAAAAAAAAAAAAATAAATAAATAAATAAATAAATAATTAAATATAATTAATCTTAGTATTTATATAAGAGTTACATATATATATATATATATATATATATATATATATATGTACACACATACATATATACTATTTATAATAAAATAAAATAATAATTTTAATATACCTGGAAGAGTCCATAATGCCTTAAATGCTCTTCTAACGGCAAGTAAGTCAACGCTAGTATCGTCATCATTAGGAGGAACTGTTGGAGATGGATCACTACTATCTTCTTCTTTATCTTCACCTTGTAACGAACGAACTGCTTCCTTGTTTAAATCTGCGGGTGGCCTTAAAAGATTATCCGGTGCTCTGTCAAGAAGTGCAGCCAAGGGAGAGTCATTTTTTTCAGTCTTTTGGAAACTTCGGCTTAATGCTTCTCTAGAAGAAAATACTTCTCCCAAAGTATGAATCAATAACGAATACGTTCCTTCTGATTTACATTTATTTATTATATCCAGAAGTTTGGCTTCAGTTAGATATGGTTCAGATTTCCCTGTTATAATTAAATTAATTATATTATATTACTCTCTCTTTCTCTCTCTCTCGATCTCTCTCCTCCTCTCTCTCTCTCTTTCTCTCACTCTCACTCTCTCTCTTTCTCTCTCTCACTCTCTCACTCTCTCTCTCTCTCTCTCTCTCTCTCTCTCTCTCTATCTATCTATCTATCTCTCTCTTTTTATCTTTTTTTATTTATCAACAATGTTTCTTTTTTTTTTTTAATCTAATTTCAATTCAACCATTTGCTTTCTTTATCAATCTAACAAGCATAGAAAACAAGCTTAACAAAATATATTTTGATAAAATATTTATTAAGAATTAAAACAGCAATTGTACTGCATAAATATAGTTGTTACAAATATAAATAAAAAGTAAAGATTAGATATAAAAAAGAAAAAAAAAAAAAAAAGAAAAAAAAAGAAAAGAAAGAAAGAAAAAAGAAAAGAAAAGAAAAGAAAAGAAAAAAAGAAAAAAAACAGAAAACAGAATCCGTGAGATTCTTAAAATTATTTCGACAAATAACGTTTTGTATATCTTTCCTTTTCCAAATATTTCAAATATAATGTTAATATTAACAATTTTGTAACAGATTTTCGTGTATAAAATTTTCTATTGGTTCTTTTCCGAATCGCCCTTGTCTTTCTTGTCTGATGTATTTTCTTCTTTGTTTTACTACGTGTTACTTGTTTATGCTGGTTATTACATTGAATTGATCGCCTTCTTCGTCGTTTAATTTGAAAATTTGGAATGCGAATATTATGTTTACTTAATATTTGTAACAGATTATTATCTTCGTTCGTAGTTGCATTAGATGCATTGGAACAAAAACTAGAATAATTGATAAAAATTTCTTCATTACAATTGGAATATAATTTACTTGATTTTTCTTCCAAAATAATAATATCGGAGGAAGGAAGACTATCATCATTA